TGATCATGAACGTGGACGGGTTGGTACGAAGCTTCCAGCCTCTGCTCACGCCTGCCAACCACGCAGCTCTCACCTCCCTCCTGGTCCATGAAGTCGCGACACACATGGAGGCCGCGATCTCCAAGATAACGTACAATAGGGTCGGTGGCAGCTATTAAAGTCACGGAAAAAGAAACAAATTTCGTGTTATTGCTTGTTTCAATAAACATGTATGTATAAATTATGCAATAGCTGAAAATATTTTTTAATGCCGTCACACACATGTCTGAATTGAAGGGTTTAATGAGTGTATCGACGATCGTGAAATTAAAAAGTAATGATACTTGATAATTAGATGTCTTGATCCTTGAATGTGAGTTGCTCATTTTTAAGCTGAGATTAATTCTCAAACTGGCTGAAATGATCAAAATTATACGTTAACAGCAATAATAAGCATATAATTTGATGATTAAATTATCGTCAGCTGGGGGGTCTGCTGGTGGACCGAGAGGTGCGTGCGGTGGTCGGGTATCTCTCACAGGTGGCTCAGTGGAGCGTCAGGGAACAGCTGGCACGCATAACTCAGATGGCCACCCTGCTCAACCTGGACCATCTGCACGAGGTGATGTGTTACATCAATACACGAGGTTATATGATACATTAATACATGAGGTGATATGGGCCTATTTCTTCAATGCCGACACTTCTATTCTATTCTGATATGATCCATCAATACACGAGATGTTATGATACATCAATACACTAGGTAATGTGTTACATCAATACACGAGATAAATGATAGATAAATGAGGTAATGGATTGTTACCTGTTCCGTAGGCACTCTAGTATTGTACTCAACTCTAGTTACCTGTTCTGTACTCTAGTGCTATACTCAACTCTAGTTAACTGTTCTGTACTCTAGTGTTGTATTCAACGCTAGTTAACTGTTCTGTACTCTAGTGTTGTATTCAACGCTAGTTACCTGTTCTGTACTCTGGTGTTGCATTCAACGCTAGTTACCTGTTCTGTACTCTGGTGTTGTATTCAACGCTAGTTACGTGTTCTGTACTCTAGTGTTGTATTCAACGCTAGTTACCTGTTCTGTACTCTAGTACTTTTGCACCGACGCTTACAAGAATCATGTGACGATACTTAGAGCAGCATAGGTCCTTGTAAGCGAAGTTTTATTTAATGTTAACGCACGGCTTGCTGGACCAGGTGGAGGAGTACAGCAGCAGCCACTCCTGGCGCCTCACCCCTGCTGAGATGAGGAAGACGCTCGCCCTCAGGTTTGTTGAATCTTATTATCAATTTTAGAAATTAGTGGAATTTTGTCCAAATATCGATGCGCTTCTTGTCCTTACGTGAACCACTGTGATTCATTTTTTTTCATTTCAAAGTAGGATTTTTAATTCTACTGAGTATAATATTCAGTTTTCCTTCAAAAGTATGATTGGCTTAGTTTACCAAATGCGATGATTTATTTCTATTAACAAGTCGTACGGCTGTTTAAATTTCGCGCTCATAATCATGACTGGCAGAAAGGTTATAATTCAGATTCTTCTTACTATTATTTAGTAAATATTTTGCATATTCAGCGAAAAGCTAAGAATATTTTACCAGTCTCCTAATTAGACGTGAAAATATTTTAAATTTCAAGCATTCTATTCAATTTTCTAGAATTCTTGCTTTGTATTTTCAAATAATTGTTCATACCAATAGCGAATTTACGTCTGGCAATTTTTTTTCTAACTTTATCGCTTCAATCATTCCAGAGCGGACTTCAAGTATGACGACATCAAGCGGCTCAAGTTATGAAGCAATGACTTACCAAGATTGAATTTAAATTGTTATCTTTCTAAAATATTTATTTCTGGTTCAGGGTAAGCTAGTGTCTCCGAAGTGCTAATATGTTCTAAAAATGAATCGTGTTGAAAGAAGGCATTTGTGTTTCATTCTAAATGTTCTGAATGAGCAACATGTTAGATAGGTTAGTACTAAACTGTGTGAATCTTTAACAACTGCTAAAATTAACTTTATTCTATTGAGTGAAAAGTTTAATTGAAAGTTTGCGGCGTTACGTATTGACGAAAATCATCTTTAATTTGTAGTGTAGTTCACTTAGTGAACTGAAAAATTTGCCAGTCCCTGAACGAGCGAATATCATCCGGCTGACTGGGTATAGTGTCTGCAACAATGATTAGGAGGATGAAAATATTCGTTCGCATCATTTGAATAAGCACTTAAAGAGATAATTTTTAATAACAACAAAAACTACCGAGAAAATTGTGCTAGTGTTGCCTCTGGTTAGCATCGATATTGTACGTCACCAAGTGACTGTTGCTATGAAGAATAACCTAATTCCTAATAACCTAATCCGGGACCAAATTCGTCCCTTCCTATTGCGTTTGTTATGCATCTGAAGCGCTGTAAAAGGTTACGCTGAAATCTATACATGAATTAAAAGTATTACTTCGAACTTTACTTGCTCGTTCTCATAGCGAGTCAATTTTTTTCTATTCTACTTTAAGTCGACATTCGTTGCAACTTCAAATACATACCTAGTGCAGCAGAAACATGGCGTCTCTTATTGGATACCATGAATTTTAACGTTTTACATGATTTTTTTTCATTAAATTTGAAAATCGGCGTGAGATAATTTTTTCACCTATGGCTACCGAGGCATGATTGCGCAGTAGTGCTGATTACACATTTTTAAGCTGCTATACGTGATTTCATTTTAAAATCGCATACTATTTGTCTAATAAAAAGTCAAAAAGTCTAGAATCACATGTGCATGTCATCCAGCCAACAGATTCATCTGATTCTTTTGGTCACTTGTGCGCTATAGCAAACCGTAAATATTCATCTTATTCCATAAATCACTCGTGAATTGTAACCATCACGCAATTTTGTCTGATTACATATACTATACTATACGGTTACGTGTTAACCAACACGCAGGTTCGTCATGTTAACGCGTCGGGATAACCTAATCCATCACCGAGCTTATCTTTATATTAGGTACAGTCGACCGCTGCATGTGAACCAGCAATCTGAGTGCGGTAGATAAGACCTGGGGCAATAACCACGTCATTAAGACCTGCTCAACCAGAGACAGGATTACTAGCTAAAGCAAATAAAGCACGAGAATATTAGTTTGATTCTTACTGTTAATCTTATCATTATGGATGGGGTAAGCTTAATGCAACGGAGTTTGCTTTATCTCATCGTCATCGCTAAATAATGTGAAGTTATGCGCAGTTAATTCATAATTTATAAAACCAAATATCAACAGTCCATTTATACTCTTTAACATGATTATCACACGGGGAATTCCCAATTGGTTCGTGGGTGAGTTAATTGCTTGCGATAACGTAGATCTCTTGGCCTGATAAAGTTTAGCCGCTAACGTAATTAATAGCTACTGCATGTCTACGATGCATTTATAAGTGTATGTTCTTCGCATTGTTACACTTGACAGTTATCAGCGGCGGTGTTAGCGCGGAGTGTGTGTTACGATAAAGACTTGGCTTAGGTTATGCAAGAGGTTTCCGGAAGCAAGAATCGAAACTGTGGTTAATCGTAAATAAATATATTCCTAACAAGCGCGTTATTAATAGAAGGAATATATTAAACTTGTACAATTAAAGTATTATTTCGATACTTATTTCTAGAATATTTTGCGGGAGCTCGAAAACAAAGACAAAATGAAGTTAGAGCCTGCTGATCCATCGGACGAAGGAGACTACCAGAAAGCTAGAGGTGTGCCCTTGAATCCTGAAATAATAATAAACGATTGCGGTGACGAAGACCACGAAATCCACGATCCTTACAACCTGTTATCGTGTCATGTGGAGGTGCGACGCTTGTCGTTCAACCTTGCCTCCCTGGATGGCAGGGACCAGCGATCAGGAAGCATCTGCAGCATTGAAAGCGTCGAGACGTTCAAGAAAAAGATCATCGACAACACCAAAAACTCGCATGAGACGCAGCAGATGAAACATTCAAAGACCGTGATGAGCTCGGCTAGTGGGCGGGAGCAGCAAAGCTGTGCCACAGAGTCCGTGACATCTACTGAATATACCACGAAAAATAGCAAGGTGACGTTCGCATCTCCGGTGCAGGTGCACGCCGAGCAAAACTCGATGCGATTGCAAAATTTGACGCAACTTCGTTCCTTTAACATTCAAAACCGAAAACATCACTTGCAGAGGCAAGGGTCAGACGGACCATTTATTTTGGTTCAAGATCCTCGCAATCCAAACCAACTATTATTAACACCTTCTCCGTCACCATCATCTGCCTCGCAACAATTTGTGTTTCCGAACTTTGCTGGAAACACGAACAAAACCTACGTGTCGGCAGGTCCGTCCTCGGTCATCCCGGCGATCAGGTAAAATTTATATTAGTCTGTTCAATAGTAATGACCACATTCCAATTCTTCCTAAAATATGTAAGCTATTGACCTTAGAACGAAATGGTTCCCAGCCAATGAATTTTATTTGAACCACGTTTTTTTCAAAATTTTATGATTTTTTTGCGGTGAATTTATTGTTGCAATCAAAATGTAAGTTAGTCATAAGAGCCACAATTAAATGTGATAATGAGGAGTCTGGTGGAGTACAATATTGGTGATGTGTAGAAAAATAATTGTCAGGGAAGTGCAAACGTTAAAGAAAGCGGTTGTTTTAATCATTCGGAATCGCGGAAATACGCCATGTTTCATAGAAATTCTCTAAATATCACGTACACACGAACAATATTTTTCAGCATGAAAAGTTAATAGGAATAATGCATAAGAAATAGGTAGGAAATTAGCATTTGTTCATAGAAATAAAGATTAATTAACGTAACATTAAAATGTAACATTATGAACATCATTTAATGTTGCATTAACTGAAAGCGTCGAGAGTTTCGAGAAATATTTTGATATTATAGATCTATAAGATCAAAAACTCGCACTAGGCATTCATGTTACATTAAAATGTAACATTAATATGCTGCATGAGACTTAGATTGGTCGGTCGTTTATAGATCTATAAGATCAAAAACTCGCACTAGGCATTCATGTTACATTAAAATGTAACATTAATATGTTGTATGAGACTTAGATTGGTCGGTCGATTTTCATCGGTTACGTGAAATTAAATCCGCCACGTGCTTAAAAGGATTAAATCTTAGTTATTGCGGCTGTAAAATGATTAGAAAGAATTTTTATTTCGGTCTGTTGGGGAGTCCTGATATGTACATGACGATAGCGATAAGAACATATGATACGGAATCGGACTACACGGTTTTTGTGGCTACAATGGCTCATTTACAATCTTTATTTATTTTAATTAATTCTTTATTTCCGTTTTAGATTAATTCTCAGGCTACTGCAGCTTTCACAAAACATTTCAACGAATGAAGAAATAATAACCGTACAAATTATTGCTGTCTACTCTGACTGAAAATGCGATCGAACTTATCGCGGAAATACGCCTATTATAATTTCAAGTGACCAGTCCAATAAAAAGAATGAACTTGAACAATATATATAGGCCAGGGAAGATTTTCTAGTTTTTAGGAGAGTCTCGTTGCGCTTCATGCAGGCTTTATTGGGACTACAAACACCGCCCGATGCGAGGGCATGTCGTCTCTGCCGCTGAGATTTATTAAAGCCATCACGACGACAAAGAGAAGACATTTCTCACACTAAAAACTGCTCCCCGGGCGATGAGGCTGGCTGCCTGCTGCATTTAACGCTCATATTTCTTAATGGTATTGAGAATTTACGCGTTCTCAAAGTTATATCAAAAGGGATCATTCAGAAACCTTTTTTCAGTAATTAACAAATGGAGGAAGCCGTAAACAGAAACAGTTATCCAACAGTTTATTAGGCTCGTGTAGTTTATGAAGATAATTTCCGCTCAGCAACGGAAGTAATTATTCCAGAGAAATAATAATCTCGGAACACAGAGACAAAAAAAATATAACTCAGTACTCACAGACACTGCAGTGAGTGAAAGAAAGCGCATTTTCTCGTCGACGAAAACATGAAGTCACAGACGGACAGACAGACGGACGGACAGACGGACATGGCGAGCACAATAGTGCATTTTTTTCATAAATGAGAAAATGCGCTAAAAACGGAAGCCTGTTACAAATTGCAGAATTAGATCAGACACAATTCATTTTGTTGCGCCTGTCGCATGGTCAATCTTCTTCAGCCGAATGACCGCTTTTCATATCAATTCGTCCATTTCGAGCTATTTAACTCCAATTTAAGGCTGCTTAAATACGGTCGAACTGCATAGGTGCAAATTTATTACACGCGTTACGATTGTAACGTTACAAAATTATTCAGACTGCATGACGTCGGTTGCGGTAGTTGCTAGCTGTTACCGGGTCTTTGTTATATAGTGAGTATCTTTGATTGAATGTTTAAGCGATCATAATTTCATCAATTGAGGTTTTACAACATTACAACAGCTATAGTTATAGTTAGTTAAATTGAATTTACAATTTTTTATGTCTATGATTAGTTAATTTTCTTATTAATTACTAATACTAATTACTAGTTATTAGTTACATTATGATTAGTTAATTAAACTCTAATTTTTTCAATAATGGGACTTCTTAATTCCGATCACAACAAAGGATTTATGAAGCTTAAACGGTCCTCCGGTTACCAACAAATTCCCTATATAAACGGCACTCGGCGCAGAAGCAGCATCATTGCTGCTGCACGCTGGGGCGCTTATCTCGTCATTAAACCTGAGACTTATACTTGTTGCAAATGTTCAAGACTTTGATATTAAGGAGATATTGTTGGCACGGTTAGGGCCGAGAATGAACTACGTTCATGCGCTGGCTTTTATAACAATTGTTTGGGTCTCTCATTAATCGATTTATGATCTTCATCTAATAGTACACCGTTTATAATCTATAATGAATTGCAATTACTTTAGCTCGCTTCATGACTGAATTTGGTGAATCTTCGGAAAACCAGTTTGGTTATCAGGCATTTCTAAGTGTTAGAAGTCTCTAACCGATATCAAAGTTATTAGTAAATAATTTTAGCGTTTAACAACACCACGTCATTAATTCTTTTGCGTTGGAATGTATTTGTATTGGGAAACAATACGTCGGGAATTATATATTTTAATTTAATTTGAACATCATGAATAGTCTGCAGTTGCATTTCGAAAGTAAATAGATGAATTAATATACTTAAAACACATATGCACATATATCTAATAATAAAATTTGGGTCAATTAAAAGGAAACCGCGCTTTCATTCAAACTCAATGAAACTCCGACTTCCCATTGAGAAAAAAATGGCTTCAAATGGGAACACATTTATTAGCAAGAATTTTCATTAAGCTCATTATCACTCGCGCAAACTTTCCTAGGTAAGAACAATAAAATCCATGAAAAAATTAACAATACAGGCCAAGTTTTACATTACTCACTAATGTAATGGAGTTTGCATGATATGGAACAAAGTTATACGTGAGTGTCGACAACTCGCTCGTCGGCCGCGTTCATATTCCATGTTCGTTCATGCCTATAGTTTACCAATTAAGCTCTTACACTGTTAGAAGAATTACCGTTAACGGTATTACCGGTGTTTCAGTGGCCGGTGGGCACGTGAAAAGAAA